TTTAGGATTTGAAATAGCTCAACTGGATTTTCATCACTTCCACTAGCTTTGTTCATAGTGATGCCTCCTATGGCCCACTTGACTTCACATTCCAGGATGTCTGGTTTTAGATGAGTGATCACACCATTGTGATTATCTGGGTGATGAGGATCTTTTTTGTATAGTTCTTCTGTGTATTCTTGCCACCTCTTCTGTATATCTTCTGCTTCTGTTTGGTCCATACTATTTCTGTCCTTTATTGTGCTCATATTTGCATAAAATGTTCCCTTGGTTCTCTAATTTTCTTGACGAGATCTCTAGTGTTCCCCATTCTATTGTTTTCCTCTATTTCTTTACACTGGTCACTGAGGAAGGCTTTCTTATCTCTCCTTGCTATTCTTTGCAACTCTGCATCAAATGGGTATATCTTTCATTTTCTCCTTTGACTTAGGCTTCTCTTCTTTTCTCAGCTATTTGTAAGTCTTCCTCAGACAACAATTTTTCCTTTTTGCATTTCTTTTTCTAGGGCATGGTCTTGATCACTGGCAAGTGATTAATTGGCAAGATGGTGGAGTACAAGGACGTACACTCATCTTCTCCTGTGAGAACTGCAAAATTACAACTCGCTGCTGAACAACCAGCAACAGGAGAATGTTGAACCCCACCAAAAGAAGATATCCCATGTCCAAGGGCAAAGAAGAAGCCCCAGCAAGATGGTAGGAGGGGTTAAATTGCGTTTAGAATCAAATCCTATACCTGCTAGAAATGCTCAGAAGGCTAAAACAAAACCTTGTTTGCACCAGGACCCAGAGGCCCCACAAAGACTGAGCCAGACCTGTGTTTGAGTTTCTTACAGAAGCATGGGTCATCTGTGGCCTGCCTCAGGGACAAGCGCTCTGGATGCAACTACCTGGGTCACACAGCCTGTGGCATAAGCCCTCTTGGGAGGAGTTCACCATTAACCCCACCACAGAGCCATCAAGCAGATGACCCACAAACCTCATAACAGTTATACCAAAGAAATTATTGCACTGTTAAGAAAGTTCTATGACCTACAGCAGATTTCCCAACCTGGAGATCTGGCAAAGAGGCTGAGAATCCTTAGAGAATATGACTTTGGAGGCCGGTGGGATTTGATTACAGAACTTAGATAGAATTGGGGAAACAGACTCTTGGAAGGCACAAATAAAACCTTGTGCACACCAGGACCCAGGAGAAAGGAACAGTGACCTCACAGGAGACTGACCCAGACTTGCCTGTGAGTGTCCAAGAGTCTCTGGCAGAGGTGTGGGTCGGGATGGCCTGCTTCAGGGTCAGGGGCACTGAGTGTTGGTCTCAGGTCAAACAAGAGGGAGGGAACACAACTCCACCCATCAACAGAAAATTGGATTAAAAATTTACTGAGCATGGCCCCATCCATCAGAACAAGACCCAGTTTCACCCACAGTCAGTTTCTTTCTCCAGGAAGCTTCCATAAGCCTCTTATCCTTATCCTCCAAAGGGCAGACAGAATGAAAACCACAATCACAGAAAACTAATCAAACTAATGATCACATGGACCATAGCTTTGTCTAACTCAAAGAAACTATGAGCCATGCTCTGTAGGGCCACTCAAGACAGACAGGTAAAAATTGTAGAGAGTTCTGACAAGAAATAGTCCACTGGAGAAGGGAATGGCAAACCACTTCAGTGTTCTTGCTTGAGAACCCCATGAACAGTATGAAGAGGCAAAAATATATGGTACTGAAAGATGAACTCCCCAGGCCAGTAGGTGCCCAATATGCTTCTGGAGAAGAGTGGAGAAATAACTTCAGAAAGAATGGAGAGACGAAGCCACAGTGAAAAATGCCCAGCTGTGGCTGTGACTAGTGATAGAAGTAAAGTCTGATGCTGTAAAGAACAATATTGCATAGGAACCTGGAATGTTAGGTCCATGAATCAAAGCAAATTGGAAGTGGTTACACAGGAGATGGCAAGAGTGAACATTGACATTTTAGGAGTCAGTGAACTAAAATGGACTGAAATGGGTGAATGTAATTCAGATGACCATTATATCTACTACTGTGGGCAAGAATCCCTTAGAAGAAATGGAGTAGCCCTCTCTCGTAGTCAACACAAGAGCCCGAAATGCCATTCAGGTTCAGTATCAAAAATGACAAAATGATCTCTGTTCATTTCCAAGGCAAACCATTCAATATCACAGTAATCCAAGTCTATACCCCAACTAGTAATGCTGAAGAAGCATTTAATGGTTCTATGAAGACCTATGAGACCTTCTAGAACTAATACCCAAGAAAGATGTCCTTTTCATCATAGGGGACTGGAATGCAAAAGTAGGAAATCAAGAGATACCTAGAGTAACAAGCAAATTTGGCATTGGAGTACAAAATGAAGCAGGGCAAAGATTAATACAGTTTTGCCAATAGAACGCACTGGTCATGGCAACTCCCTCTTCCAACAAGAGATGACTTTGCACATGTACATCACCAGATGGCCAATACTGAAATTAGATTGATTATCTTCTTTGCTGCCAAAGATCGAGATGCTCTATGGAGTCAGCAAAAACAAGACCGGGAGCTGACTGTGGCTCCAATCATGAGCTACTTATTGGCAAATTCAGTCTGAAATTGAAGACAGTAGGGGAAAGCACTAGACCATTCAGGTATGACCTAAATGAAATCCCTTACATTATACAGTGAGAGTGAGAAATAGATTCAATGGATTAGATCTGATAGACAGAGTGCCTGAAGAACTATGGACGGAGGTTCATGACATTGTATGGGAGGCAGTGATCAAGACCATCCCCAAGAAAAAGAAATACATTAGAAAACTACAGTAAATAAAACAGACAAAAATCCCTTGCCCTACTAGGGTTCACATTCCAATGGTTAAAAAAAAATTATCATTATCATTTGGGAGATATTAAATTGTTGTTTCAGTCACTAAGTCACGTCCAGCCCACCAGGCTCCTCTGTCATGGGATTTCCCAGGCAAGAGTACTGGAGTGGGTTTCCATTTCATCCTTTAGGGGGCCTTCCCAACCCAGGGATTGAACCTGCATTTCCTGCATTTGCAGGTGAATTCTTTACCACTAAACCACTTGGGAAACCCATAATATTAAATAGCTAGCTTTTAAAAGAATGTTGATGTGTTGGTCAAAGAGGGTTAGAATTTATTTTTGTCTTCTATATGCAGCTGTAACCTCCTGTTAGACTTTTTGCCCTAGTACTACAAATATTTATTTTATTTTGCTGATAAATTTTAACACTGACCTCCATTGAATAAAATACATTGTCTTTACCATTAACATAGCATCTTAGGCACAAAGCTAAATTTTTGAGTGAAAAAACACGTAGATGCATCCTTTAAAAATTATCCCCCCAAATAACTAAAAAAAAAAATGGAGATTGGGAAATGCACTGAGAAAGCAAAATTTGAATGTAGACATTTAAGAGAATCTTACAAAAAAAAGTAACCATCAGGTTTGCATTTTGTTTTAAGGTGACAGGATGGTTCCCAGTCTCCCCTTCCTTCCATTTCTGCATATCAAGGTCATACAATTCTTTGTGGAAGGAAATGCTGTTTTTAGTGGATTCCAATCTAGGCAATAATCAACAGAGCTCCTGTATGGTACCTATTGTCAACATGTTAACAGCTACAACTTTTTCAGTGCTGCATTAGCCCAGCCTTGCTTTCACTGCTTCTGAGCCTCCAGCTGGCCACAGCTGCTTTTGCTGATGCTCCCTAGCTAGAGGCTGAGCTCCCTTCCCTGTTCTTGAGGGAGATGAATAATGTAACAATACTCCTCCTCCAGGTTTGTATTGTTATCTGAGGTTGTAGATTCAAGGACCCTGGATAACTGAAGAGCTCCCATACTTCTTGCCACTAATCAGATCTGAGATGTACTGGCAGGATTGGTTACCAGGAGGGATTGGGTACACTTGGGTTGCAGTTCACTTCTTCTGCTTTCTTCCCCTGCATTCACCAAGTCCACAATTTAGAGCTGCAGCCCTGATGTCCTCTCCTTTATCTAACCTGTTTACACCTCTAGTTTACTAGTTCAGATTCTAGCTTTGGTGATCTAATTACTGGTCTGGATATTCTTGCTTTGAAAAAGACCTTGGAGATTGTGTCCATCTGGCTTGTTAGATTGGTCAGTTTCTACCAGTCTAATTCTTGTTCCACTGACTGGGTGCAATTTATTGGAAAAGCCTCTTCAAAAAGTGAAGATGAAGACAGGTACAGTCTCAGCAATACTGCGCAAAATCTGACTTCTAGCACCTCTGGAACTCTCCCCTGTCTTACCTCAGTGTTCATGTTCAAGCTAACTCCTGCCCCCTTGCCAGTTCACCTGATAATACTGTAGGCATCAGTGAAAAGAGCCTAAGGCCCAAATCTCAAGCAAGAATAATTTATAATTGGAGCTACCTCATGGTAGTGAGAGATACCTTTGCTGTTAACATATATTAGCTGTTGGACATTCCCCCTGGTCACAGAAATAGACAGATCTGGGTTTTACATTTACCCCAGTTTCCTGAAGAAGGTCAAGGCTTTAAAAGCAGGTATGGCCTTCTCTGGTGCTAATTCAAGACCCTTTTAGTCTTCCTTTGGGAACTTCCTGGGATCCACAGCTCTAGATTTTTTGGGGCACCCAGAATATGGGATGTATTTCATATCATCATCAGTCCCTTTTAATATTTACAGCTTTTTCTTTTATCCCTATTTTAAGGGTCCTTGAAAAAAACACAACAAAAACAACTTTTGGTGTAAAAATGAATTTGAGCATGGGAGGAAGGAATCTTGGAGAAAAGTGAAAGTGAAATTAAAAAGAGAACCAGATGGCTCTTAACAGGAAAGTGGGCTACATTGCCACCAAGTACATTGATAAGTCCTGCCTTCTACCCTATCTCTTTTAGGATTCCTGCCAATCACCCTAGGCCACACTCTTGCCCTGATCTTTAACACACACTAAGCCTGTGTGTGGCCTCCCTTGCAGGCAGAAGGGCTGTGGCTGTGGAAGAATGGCCTCTGCCAGCAGGTTCTCTGAAGAGGAGTTCCAGGAGGCCTGTGCAGAACTACAGCATCTCCGGGTATCAGGCTGGGAGATGCCAGTGGTCACGTCAGTTGTCAGGGTCTACCAGCGGCCACTGAACAAGGTAAGGTAGCAGCATGCAGGGGACCCCTGGGAGGCTGCAGCCTGTACGGACCCCAGGAATCTTACAGAACCAGAAAGAACAAGTGCTCCTGGAGTGGTGTCTCTGGCTAATGTTGCCACTTGTGGAAGCAGGAGGTGAAGAGGTAAACTGAAATTATTCTCAGGTCTGAGAAAAGTGGTTTGTTAGAAGTTAGTGACAGTGTTATAATGTGGGTCTGCCTGATTATTAGCCCCATGCACTTGCCTGAAAAGGACATGGAGTCCCCCTTCTTGGTTGATGCCAGTGGTATTTGTGCGGCAAGGCATATCTTAGGTTTGAATATAGGTAAAGAAGAGACTGGACTTTTCAGAGAGTGGGTGTTCAGGGTAATGTATGTGAAGAAATCCAGTAAGCTCCTAATTAGCTTCTTGGCCTTAAGTTGCCCTCTACCCGTTCCATCTTACACACCACAGCTCAGTCAAGCACCTGAAAGAGTGGTTGTAATCTATCAATTCCCTCCTCTGGCACTGTTGACTGACAAATTAATAATAACAGCTACAGTAATAGTGAACACATTGCATGTTGTCTTAGGGTCCAGGAACTGTTTAAGTGCTTTGCAGGCATTGCCTTATTTAGTCCTCATATCAGCCCTAATGTAAAGTTCTAGGATTGTGAATAGTTGGTTAAGAAACCGCAGTGAGCTGTGACTATGATTTAAATCATGCTATAACAAAGCTATTATTATATGTTTGGAAAAGATTTAAGTGTAGAAGCACTTGAGAGAGTTTACAATGTAACAAATGGATTACATTTCAAAATAAAACAGATTGTGATTTTAGTAGACACAAATAATTCTGAATCTTGGACAAATTGCTACTTTTGATAGATTTTAATTTTCTCTTTTCCTATTTAATCACAGAATTTTAAACTTAGAAATTCTCTTCAAAATCATTCTGTCCCACACTGTCACATTTCCTCTCATTTAAAAAAATTTTTTTTCTTTTCTTTTTCTCAGTTTCACTGTTCTTACCTTCTCTTTTTTTTGCCCAGGTAATAATGGTAGTAACTTATCTTTAAAGGTGCTTTAATATACAAAATGCTTCTACATAATAGTTTTCATTTATCCCTCTTAAGAATTAGAAGAGAGATACAGGCTTATTTTCCTATTTTACGGATGGCATAAGACCCAGAGTTGTTAGGTGAGCCATACAAGACCTCATAACTAGTAACCAGATATGAACCAGTTGACTTTGATGAACTCAGTACAAAAATATGCAGCTTGCTTCAATTCAGAAGTAACTTCTCTTTCCCCAAACCAAGCAAAACCAGTGCAAAGCCACTGTGTGTTAGCCCATGTGCTACTTCAGGAAGAACATGGGTTTTGGAGGCAAATAGCCTTGGATTAAAATATCTGCTCCTCCCCACTCTCATTCATTTATTTAGGAGATATTCATCAAATGCCTACTATGTGGTACTGCTTTTTAGGTGCTGCAGATATGCAGAGAACAGGGATTTGGAGCTGTTGGTTCAATAAATGAGCTTATTGAACAATAAACCATATTCACTGATGATAATACACTCATAGTATATAATGAAATGGCAGCTGAAAATCTCTACAAAGAAAGCAAAGTGGGATGAAGGAATACAGAGATGCTATGGTGGAGAGTATCCAGGGGTGTTGTGATGTACTTTAGATAAATAGAATATGGGAAGTCTCTCTTCCAGAAGTAACAATCAAGTGGAAATAGAAGTAAAATGAGGGATTGTCTCCTGAAAATATCTGGAGGAGAAATTGACCAGAGAGTGTTTCTTACAGCTCAAGCACATTAAAATTGTTTGGGGAGCTCTAAGGACATTAGCAAGATTTACTTAGAGTCCAAATTTAATTTTTTTCTCAATTATTTTTTTTCATGTGTATGTTTTATTTTTTTTTCCCATTTATTTTTATTAGTTGGAGGCTAATTACTTTACAATATTATAGTGGTTTTTGCCATACATTGACATGAATCAGCCATGGATTTACATGTGTTCCCCATCCTGAACCCCCCCTCCTACCTCCCTCCCCATCCCATCCTTCTGGGTCTTCCCAGTGCACCAGCCCTGAGCTCTTGTCTCATGCATCCAACCTGGGCTGGCAATCTGTTTCACAGTTGATAATATACATGTTTCGATGCTGTTCTCTCAGATCATCCCACCCTTGCCTTCTCCCCTAGAGTGCAAAAGTCTGTTCTATATATCTGTATCTCATTTTCTGTCTTGCATATAGGGTTATTGTTACCATCTTTCTCACTTCCATATATATGCATTAGTATACTGTATTGGTGTTTTTCTTTCTGGCTTACTTCACTCTATAATGGGCTCCAGTTTCATCCACCTCATTAGAACTGATTCAAATGAATTCTTTTTAATGGCTGAGTAATATTCCATTGTGTATATGTACGACAGCTTTCTTATCCATTCGTTGGCTGATGGGCATCTAGGTTGCTTCCATGTCCTGGCTATTATAAACAGTGCTGCAGTGAACATTGGGGTATACGTGTCTCTTTCAAATTTAATTGAGCGTGGTGGAACTTGAAGGGATGGTCCTTTGGAAAAACTCCCCTCTCACATAGAGGTTGATTATTCTGTCCTCCCTACTTTTGTGTATGTTGAAATGCTAGTGCGCCAGAATCACCTGCAGGGCCTGTTAAAATTAACAGAAAGAACCCAACTCCTAATTTTGATTCAGTGCATCTGGATTTGGAGTTTCCTTTTTACTTCTTTTTTCCTTCCACTTCCCCTTTCTCTCTTTCTCCTCCTTCTTATCTTTCTCCTCTTCCTCCTCCCTCTTTTTTGTTTTCTTTTTAAGGAATTCTCTGGTTACATAGAAATTCCTGGTCCCGGGACCAGACTTTGATAACCATTGATGTATGCAGAGCATCTTGTATGGTGCTCAAGGAGGTTCTGACTTTGGGATCAGGAGAGGGCCCTAGAGATGAGAAATGGTGGGAACTGAAAGGTAAGAGTGAAAGTAAAAGAGTGTCTTAAGATGAAAGCAGCATCTACTTTAATACTCACTTTCCCTTATTTTTAAATTAGTGGCCACTTGGGAGTGAATGTGGTTCCCTGAACAGTGCTGAGAAGTTCTCCTGGCAGGATAGGGCCATAGGTCACTTGCATAAGTTTTCTAGGGAACTACAGTCAGGTCTAAATGGAGCTTTAGATTGGTTCCTATGTCAGTAGACACAGTGACATGATGGTTGATGGTTTGCAGAGGCTCACATCATTGACTTAGACCAAGAAAATGTTAGTATAAAAAAAGATCTGGGGGGGGGGCGAAGATCTGGGAATTCTCTAGAGGTCCAGGGGTTAGGACTCTGTACTTTCACTGCTGAAGTCACGGATTTGATCCCTGGGCAGGGAACCAAGACACCACAAGCCACACAACATGGCAAAATACCAAGATCTGGTTGATGGTTTGACCTCTTATGTTTTTTAAGCCCACTGTCTGGTACTGTCAGAGGGGCCTGTGTTTGTTCTTTCATGGGTCTTCTAATCAGTGAGTTTGGTGAGAGGTAGACTGTATTTTCCCAGGGAATGTTTGTTCTTTCATATGCTGATAATCTACTAAATTGTTGAGAGCCTGGCCTCTTGACTAAAACTCTGTGGCTCACCAGGCAGGGCTGAGAGAAAGTTTTACCTTTCAGAGGGAAGCAGATATTTAATTGTCATGAGAACACACTTACCTCCATGAAAGAGAAGCTTCCACTCCCATTCTCGAGGTGGGATGAGAATCTGATAGCATCATGGGATTTTTTACTTCCGGATGACACTACTATTCTACTTTCTCCCACCCTCTGTGTACCAGCATGATTATTGGAACAGTTATTGTACCCAGGACACTTAATGGAGCCTACTTATTCATGGGTAAACCACCAAAGCTTAAAGCTGAGCACCTGGTGTGACCTCCTTCTATTTCCTGCCACTGATCAAGGCCACCTCTCTCTCTCTCATCCTTATTGCTTCATCTCTGAGATCCCTGAGCATATGACTGGATAGACAGATATGTCAGAGCCTCAGTTCTCTCTCAGGAGGAGAGAGGGTATCAGGCAATATGAAGATGCTGGTCCCAAGATATAGCTTTGAGGGAATGAAGGGTGAAGGATGAGGAGGATTCACTACTTTTGTCTGCAGATAGAAGTATAACTTTCACCTCACTCAGCCATACCCATCAGAGGAAAAACAAACAAACAAACAAAAACTCAGCATAAATCTCACCCTATACGAAGCTCACACACACTACTGGGCCAACCTTAGGAGGGCAGGAATCAAAAGGAAGAAAGAATTCCACCTTCTTCAAGGAAATAATTCAACTTTCCTTGAAGCCTGGGAAAAGGAAACCTCAAACACAATAACTTAAAAAAAGAAAAGAAAAGAAAAGAAAAGGCAGAGGAATACTGCACAAATGAAGGGACAAACTGGAAACACAGAAGTCCAAGTAAATGAAGAGGAAATAGAAAAATTAACTGAAAAAGAATTCAGAATAATGGTAGTAAAGATGATCAAAAACCTTGAAAACAAAATGGAGAAAATGAAAGAATCAATTTTAAAAGACCTAGAAGAATTAAAGAATAAACATACAGAGATGAACAACAAAATTATTGAAATTAAGAATATTTTAGAAAGAATCAATAGCAGAATATCTGAAGCAGAAGAATCAGTGAGCTGGAAGGTAAAATGGTGGAAATAACTTCTGAAGGGGAGAATAAAGTAAAAAGAATGTAAAGAGCTGAGGACAGTCTCAGAAATCTCTGAGACTGTATCAAATACACCAACATTTATAGGGGTCCCAGAAAAAGAAGAGAAAAAGAAAGGGTATGAGAAAATTTTTGAAGAGATTATAGTTGAAAATTTCCCCAACGTGGAAAAGGAAATAGTCAATCAAGTTCAAGAGGCACAAAGAGTCCCATACAGGATAAACCCAAAGAGAAACATACTAATCAAACTAATAAATATTTAACACAAAGAAGTAATATTAAAAG